TGAAGACCGTTGACTTGTTTATTTTATGATTTCTTCCACAGCACAATCTTTTTGTTGTGGTTCTCAAAGTGGCTTCGCAGACGCACATCTGATTTAATTAATTGTGTCTTAATTGTGTCATCCACTTGTTCTCTTCCACTGCTGGGGAACAGTTGTTTCCTTTATTCTCTCTATTAGACTGAATTAAATTATCATTTTCAGTCAGCCTGACACTGAATGCCTCTCGGTGATGTTTTCATAAAATTTCACAGATAAGTGACAGGATGCTGTGAGCCAGCATCAGTCTTTTAATCCTTAGTTTGATTATCACATTCGCCTGCATACTCCACTTATTAAACAGGTGAGGCCAACCATCCCAGCGAGTGTAAAGACATCTGTCAGCAGGAGTCTATTAAGACATCAATATTGACCCTCAGCTCCACAATTTGCCTGCAGCAGGTGTGCACCAGAAGATTGCTCATAGGAAGTACAAACAAGGTGAGAGAGACGAAAGGGGAGGAAGGTAGTGACAGAAGTGGAGGAGTAAAAAAGTGAGCCCTCTGTAACCTCCTTCTCCCCCTTTAGGCTGTCACTACACACAACGGCCTGTTTAAATCTAATGAACGCAACAATCCAGGAAACTGCAAAGAGCAATTCATCCTGTATTTCATAGAAAACCAACAAAATCAATACAGTATGAACTTCTTATTTCCACATTTCAGCAGCATGATCTGCTTATGATGTATCATCTGCATGCAGAGACTGTTCTATTAAAAACATACACAATCATACCGAGAAATACACAAACACAAACTCCACTCCAGGCCTATTGTGCCAATTAATCCACATGGTGCTCCCTCTTTAAATCAGAAAGGATTGTATCACTGCTTTAACAAGTTTTCGCTCTTAAACAACAGATTATGTATAATTTACATGTTTAATGTAAACTATTTTGCCATTGGAAACAGCCAATAAAGCTGTTGTAACTTTTATGAAAGTAACTTTTTGTTATATTTGCTGAAACTGTCGCAATATTCACACAGTAGTTCATGCGACAGATAATCTGTGAAAAAACACTACATTCCTCTGTCCCCTCAAATTGCATCTTACTGCACGTAAACGAAAGCAACCAATCAGAGCTAAGGACTCTCTAACACAGCAAACTGTCAAACTAGGCAGCGCTGATCAAATATGAATCAATATTTTGTTGCGGCATTGCCTGTTTCTCACCTCAGATGTTGTCAGAAACATATTTTAGTGTACTGTTTAGCTGTAAAAGGAGAAACTGGTCTAGCCATTGGGCTGTGCTTGGTACTTTGGCTGACTATTTCTAACAGACTTTCTCATTTTACAGCTAAACAGTACACTAAAATGTTTTTCTGACAACATTTAAGGTGAGAAATAGGCAATGCAGTAACAAACACTGTTCGTATTTGATCAGTGCGGCCTAGTTTGACAGTTCAACTGGATTTCATGAGCAGTGATTGACGTGATTGACTGCTGCCATGGTATGTTTCTTGTAAATACCAAGAGAGGCAGTAGGAAAAGGAGGGATATGAGTTTCAGCAAATATGACTTCCTAAAAGTTACCAACTACAGCTTTACACAACAGATTATTTATAAAAGAACATTTTTGCCGACTTTACGATTCATGTTTTCCTTAACCATTTAAGAAGTACTTACACAATTAAACAAAATTACTGGAATTTCTCAATTGTGGGATCAATAAAGGTGTATCTTATCTTATCTTATCTTATCTTATCTTATCTTATCTTAAAATCAATCCAGACCTGATGGTTACAGCTCGAGCGAGTTTCATAAGTCTGTTAATAGGTTTCCATGTCATATGGAAATCAGTGGAAACCCATGGATGCCAGGAATGGTAGAAAGCATTTTAGGATTAAAATTTTTACAAACGCAGTACCCACGTTTGCAGAATAACTAACTAGTGACGTAAACCACTGGTTCCCAACCTGGGGGTCTTGACCCCCTCTGAGGGTCGCCAAAGGGAGGGGGAGGGAGTTGTGAGTCCTTTTTGATTTTAGGGTTCATAAGAAATCTGTTCAATCCTGAGAAGAACACTAAATTAAATTGTTGTTTTTAAAGTTTATATTATTATTTAAGATTAAAACATAAAAAAGATGTGAAAGGATAAGGGCGCAGTGAACACACAGAGCCTTCACTGTTTGCTTAACAGCTTTGTCATGTGTTCTTTGGCAAGTATGCAGTTGAAGCAACCAAAAAGCTCATAGAACAATGAACAAACGCCAGGGAGAAAAAAACACTGAATTTGTCCAAAAAAAAAAAAAAGCCTATTAAGAAAAACATAATACAGACAGAATTTAATAAAAAGTTTTTAAAAGTTTCATGAAAACTCATCACTGATGCAATATAAATAAAATAATCTGCTGATTTCACAAACTTCCTGCAGTTATTGTGTTCACGAGGGGTCTCTTAAGGAAAAAGGTTGCGAGCCACTGTTGTACAGTACATGTAATCTGTAATAAACAGGATAAATGCAGGAATGGTTCTTTTAAAGTGGCCTTTACTCGCCTACGCCTTCTGAAGCCTATCCATTTAATAAATCTGAAGAGGGTCCCTTGGTGTGGTTATGAGCAAGATCTATGGTGTCAGTGTGTAGGATTCATGTCTCTCTCTCTGTGCCCTGTGGGTATGTCACACTGCCATAAAACAGAGCGCCTGAGATAAACTGACAGACTGCCACGGAAAAAGCGGCAATGAATAATGCTTTGTTATTTTAGCAGTGAATAGTAATTTGTCTATATAAAGAGCGGTGTGTTTGCTTTCACATCCGTTCATACACGTCACCGAGTGTGTACAGTGGATTCCTGAGCTGACCTGAAACACACAGAACAATGCCTACCTGTGTGTGTTTGCTCACATGTGTGATCTACCTGTGTGTGTGTGCTGATGTCAATGAATTGGTGTGTGTTCAAGTGTATGCACATCATAGGACACCCTTGTTTGCTCTTCTGTGTTTGCTCTCAGGTCGAAATATTAACATTATTAACTGACAATTATGCACAGTCGCCATGTTGTCCGGGCGTGAATGAGTGACGGACTGAGTGGGGGAGTTTTCACGTCTAGAAGTTTGGCTACAGGTCGCTTTAATGGGAAGCACAGACTGCTTACAGCCAGAGATTTGGCGCCTCAATACTCGCACGCCTTCATATTTTACTACGTATTCAAATCCATACATTAGGCGTGGCAGTGATGTGTACTCAGCGCTCAGGGAAAGACACGAAGCATACACACAGGATGTGCTGTAATTCGTCGTAGCGTGCACCAGCTTTGATGTTGAAACCGAGCCAGTGCACATGCTGACACTGAAGCATTGCCTGCCCGCCTGTAGCAAATAATTTACAGATACACTACGCACAAATTCCTTAACCTGAGGAATGTGTGTGCGTTAAAGTCCACCCCAAGAAAAAGTAGAACTCTGCATCACCATCACTCTCCCTTCTTCCCTGCTTTCCCCCGAGGACAACCGGGTCACTCAAGAGAGAGGTGCACAGGCTATAAGGCAATTAGCGAGAGAAGCGGTGTGCGTCCAGAGGCCCGAGGCTACGGTCTCGTCCTGCGTATATGTGTGTGTCTTTACAAGCCCACACAGTTCCTGTCACAGCTCATTGACAACTAGCACAACACAGGAACGAGGCAGGACAGAGGGTGAGGGGTCAGGAGGGGTGTGTAGAGTAGAAAAGAAAATCGGAGCGACAGTTTTCACCAGCGACGCAATGTAAGGCATTAACTGGACCCCGGCACATGGAGGTGGTTTATTAGTGTGGGTTTTTACGTTTCATACAAAGGGACTTTTTTCAGTTGAGGATTAATACAGATTTGGTGCGGTAGTTACAGGAAGTTGTATGTGGGATTGACACAAATTAAAGAACAATATGTAATATACAGTAGTAGAATAAAATCATTGTTGGTTTTTAACGGTTTCTTTACTGTCATTTCCACATAGTATATGGAATTAAAATGTAATTTCCATAACCTAAGTTGCGAACACATAATACGAACAAAGGGCAGAATAAAACAGTGATATTATCTCTCAATTTTCTTTTTCCAGTCAACACTATAAGCAGTCTAACATGGATATATATTATGCAATACCACTAAATTATATATGGAGCAGGATAAATGGGGCAGTGGAACAAAGAGCAGAGATATGTATACTTTATTAAAATATAGATATAAGTGTAAATGCCATACCACAAAGCTATAAAAACTATAGCAGTATCGGTAATATAAATAGTGGCTAACTAGTGGTCTCAGTAGTAGTTATATATATAGTATAAATAGTCACAGAGATGATGATGGTGCCGTATAAAGCTGATGGTTTTGTTTTTTTATAAGTAAAATAATAATAAGAAAATGTTTTAAATGTGTCCTGACATAAAGTCTGAATAAAAATCAGAAAAACATCTTTGCTTCCTTCTAAAAAAATTCAAGTTTTTCTGCGAAAAATGCCAAAAACATAACAAATTACAAGCCCCACACACACTGTAGATGTTTACAAGGATGTATATACTAATGCCACCCACCTATGCCACAGCTCCATAACTTCAGCGACCAGACAGGCATGTTAAACTCCAAACTTCTTCCATTCTCCCTTTCCCTTTCCCCCTGTGTCTGTAACCGTACACAGCCTCACTGTATCTATTAAATGCCGTGTGTGTGTTCAGAGAGCTGCTCTTGTTCTGCTGCCAGTCTTGTTAAGAGGCTCAGAGTTGTGTGAAAGGGCCCTATTGAGGAAGCAGGGGTGTTACAGTTAACACAATAAGGACCGCCGATTGCGTGTGATTTGGGTTTCTGGATGCAAATATTCAAAGGAGTGTGTCATTATTCTGACGTGTGTCTGTGCTTCTGTAAACAACAGTTTGTTGTATTATGATGTAAAACTATTCCTGATGTTAAGGTTAGCACCGGCCACATCTTTTTCATAATGATGCAGATGACTAATAAAACTGTCAGGTTTTATTTAACGCTTCACTCACCCAGTGGAGACACTTCCTCCTCTACTCTCGCTCCACTTTTCTTCGGGTCTTCTTTTCCTGGAAACACAACAGTTGCACCTATTAGCCAAATATGTTGCATATGGTTTTCTTCTCCTTCTCTCTCCACTTATTTGGAATCTAGCTCCCCTGTCATGCATTGTTAATGGTCCGCAAGCAAAACAGGAAGTTTTTTCGTTTTTTTTTTTCCTCCTGTTAATTGGTTGGATTCCAGCTGTGTGAGGGAGCGTGCTGAGCGCTGGCAGGCCGTGTGGCAGCACAAGAGAATGACAGAGCGGGAGAGGAAGAATGCAGGCCGACCACTCTCCACTCTGTCAGCTCCTTGTCCTGTGGTATCAGTCCATCAACCGTGGCCTTAGAGTGTCTGTGTCCGTGTGTGTGTGTTTACAGTGTTGACTTAAGCATTACAAAAGACTGCTTTTTTTGAACCCCTATATCTTGTTCTGTGTTTATAGCACAGTCTCTGGTGTGATCTGCCAGATTAATTGAGTTTCACCCTCATCAGCTGCTCATGAATGAGGTGCTGCCTTGGGAAGAGCGTCAAATCTATAAGTGACGATTTTAGGGCTGCAGCTGATGAATCTATCCATTATTATCTCTTTAACTGCTTGATAGTTTTGTTAGTTAAATGTCAGGAAATAGTGAAGAATGCCCTGTGTCATCTCCCAGAGCCCAAGGTGACGTTTCAAATGGCATGTGTTATCCAACAAACAATACAAAAATCCAAAGTAATTCAGTTCCTTGTCATTTATGGCAAGGAAAAGTATTTAAGAAGCATAAAACCAGCAGATTTTTGGCCTTTTTTTACTTAGAAATGACCAAAATAACTATTCAATAATCAAAACAGTTGCCGATTGATTGAGTAGTCGTTGCTTGCCTGGGTCCAAATCTTGGAATCCACCCACTCAGAGTGTAACGAGTTCACATCTCCGTCTGATATCAGGCAGCTCTGGACAATATTACTCACATTTCAAAGCAGGTATAAAGTTTTTACTTCACTGATTTACATAGTAGAATTTTCAATAAAGTGACATGTATCTTCAGTTAGTGGTGTGACCAGGTGTGTGTGTGTTTAAGACGAGCGTAAACTGGCACAAGCCCTAGGTTTTTTTTTAATTAAAGACAAGAACAGCGTTACTTTCATGTGATATCAGCTGGCAGGGCCCAAATTAACCACATTGTTTGTGTGCCTTAATGATTAGCGTGTCATTATCCGCGACCACAGAACGGTTTGTGCTTGCGTCCATGTGTGTGTCGCTTTGAATGAACACAGTGTATTAACTAGTGTTATTTTTGAGTGCGGTCATGGGATCATAAATGCGAGTGTTTTGGAAAACACAAAGTGACCACTTGATAGATGTCGTATTAGTGGGAGACGTTTGGCCGAGAGCGGCTGCCGCATTTCTTTCTAATGACCGACTTTTAAAATTTTCATTTAATTGACTCAAGGCACGGTCGTAAAACAGTTTTGGAGATAATCAGCTGATGCACACAGTATCTCTCCTGTTTCTACAGCACACACAGATTCTTAACTATACACATATTCATTAGAAACGCACTCACTCTTCCAGTATGTTCCTGCTAAGCAGTGCTTTTAAGCCGTACTTATTATACCAAAGCTCTGAGTCAAACAGTCTGTGGAGGCGGAAAACAGAATGACGAGCGAGCCACGTGCTACACCTGATTGTGTAACACCTGAAACCTCACTTCGCTTTGCATATACGATCTCCGAGTCGCCCTGCAGCTCACGCTTGCTTCCACATAGAGAGTGCAGTGTTTACATCTGAAAATAATCGGTCACAGTCCAGGGCTCGGTTTGGCTCTCTGACCTGCTGCGAGGCCTTTGCTGCACTCTGCATCCGTGTGTTTATTTGTCTGTGGGAGTGTTTTGCTCCGCTGCACAGAGGCTTCTGTGCATACTTTTTTTCCAGCAGTTTTGGGTTATTTGCATACACTTTAAAATCCTTAAAGGTAAATGCAACAATGCATGCTTGCAAGTGGATGAGGAGAAGTGTGGGGACTCACATGCGCTGACACTGGTGTGGTCAGTGTCCTGACTCAGGGTCACCGTGTCTCCCTCTCAGACAATCCCTTCACTGTACTGTAAATATTTAGCTTTCAAAGTGGAACCCGGCTCTCAGAATAGATGCAAATCATCTTTACCGCTGAACTTCATGAATGACTGTGGCACTTTTACAAAAGGCAAAACTGTCAACAACAATATTCCTGTCTTGGTATGCCGTAATAGCTCAGGCTGCCTTCTCCACATGTTTCCATGAGACATTTGGTCTTTAATTTGTGCAGACTGTGCACTGGCAAATCATTGGTAGTATCTTTTAACCTGTCAGTACCTCTTATTTTCTCTCTTTTCACCATTATAGGTTTACGTTCATATTTATTCTCTTTTGAAGAAGCTATTTTTGTCATTCCCAGTTTCAGAGGACTGATACTTTTCAGCCGCGCTGTCCACTATAATTTTCTTCCTCTGTGTTCATCTGTTAAACATAAATATCGCCTCACCCTCCTCCTCCTCTGTTTCTCCTTTTCTCTCTGTGTCACTCCCTTTCTCTTCCCCCATCTGGTTTAATCTCTCCCAAAGCAGCTGAGCAGTCTGGCGTTCACGTTGGAACTACTTTGTAGTGGCATCATCTAAAACTGCCAGCAATTTGTCCAAAATTATAGCTCAAAACATCGGTCCAACCCCCAAACCTGCAGAGGACGGGTCGGATAAACAGAGAAAGGCCTTGTGTTATGCTGTAGATCTCTTGCCTCGCCTGATATTTAATGTGCGTCTTGTATGTTGAATATGCGCATCAGTGACAAGCTGTGACTTGTGGCACTGTCACAAGCGCTTGGCTGTTGACTGCAGCGTTGAGTGATTGAGATTTTGGCTGATACACGGTGGCATTCGGATATAAACATGCAGGCATTCGCACGTATACATGGCACTGATTTCCTCTCTCGGGCTGCTCTCTCATGGCGCAGCAGATAACAAAACTATTCCTGTCTGTGGCTGTGATGGACGTAGAAATTAAAGGGACATTTCACCACAAAATCAAAAATACATTTTCCCTCTTATCTGTAGTGCTGTTTATCAATCTAGATTGTTCTGGTGTAGTTGCAGAGCGTTGGAGATATCAGTTGTAGAGATGTCTGCCTTCTCTTGAATATAATGGAACTAGATTGGCTTGTGGTGCTCAAAGCATCAAAAAACACACACGACAGCAATCTCTCTTTCCAGAAATCATGACCTGTTTACTCAAGATAATCCACAGACCTTGTTGTGAGCATTTTATTGCACAGAGGGAAGCGTGTATCTACTCATGGATGAGGGGCCAACAATAATGGCGTCAGTGGTGCTACGTGAGCTATCAGTAGATGCACTCTTCCTTCTGCGCGGTGATACCGTTGGCGGGTGTAGTTCGGTTGAAATAAAAAAGTTCCTACATGAAACTGCTCATAACAAGGTCTGTGGGTTATCTTGAGTAACTGGCCCATGATTTCTGGAAAGAGACATTGCTGTTGAGTCTTTAAAATGTATTTTATAACTCACACCAAAACAATTCAAATATATAAAGAGCACTACAGGTAAGAGGCATCATATGTTACTTTTATTTTGGGGTGAACTGTGCCTTTAAGGAAAATAGGGGCAGAGAACTCCAACTTCAAATGATGTAACGTGGATGAGCAGCTGTGTAAGTTGTATGTGCGATGTGCCTACATGAGAGGGTATGAGAGTGTATCGCTTTGTGATAAACACGGTCCAGGACACTTGGTGACCTTATGGCTAGCGCACTAACCCCGCATGCGCTCACAAATTCGCTCTGCCCTATTTCATGTGATCCGTGTTCAGTAAAACATTAATGTTAAATATTTGACCTTCCTCTCAAAGTAAGATCGGCCTTCCCCACTTCTGGTTTTGGTCAAAGAGTATAGGTACATGTATGTGTGTGTGTGTGTGTTTGTTTGTGTGTGTGTGCCCTTGCTTTGCTTTTGCCCAGTAAGATCTGGTTCAAGGCTCATTTCCTAATTACAGTGCTGGCCAGAGGTAATTACAACCTTAGATTAAGAGCTGTTTCTCTTTTTTTCCTTTTACGGGGCCCACTGAAATGCAGCAATTTGTGGTGGCTTTCTGGGATGAGCATCCTCCTTCTCATCCTCCATCTGTCTCTCACTCTGCTCTCTTCCCTCAACACTTCACTGGAGTTGGTTTTAGGAATTTGGGGGATTTTTTTGTGGCTTTTTGCAGATTTTCCAACCGCAGTGAGAAGGTTAAAAAGATAGCAGCATTTAATGTAAAGCTTCGAGAGGGATTCATTCGCTTTAGGAGATAGACAAACTGGTAAAAATCTGACAACAGCGAGTATGTGTGCGTCTGTGGACGCGGAGGACAGCAGTTATTTGGGGTTTTGCGCTCAAGCTGGGGCACTCCGAAGCCCTCAGATCCCTTCGCATGTGTGTGTATATTTATGCAAGGTTTTGAAGTGGTTCTTCTGAACGCATCATTTGGCTGCATCGGCGAGCTCTTCTTCAATTTAGCTTGGCAGGCGTACAGGCTGGGGTTTGCCTCCGCATACCACTGGGTCAGCATTGATGTGTGAGGCTGAGGCCCTTGAAGCTGGGGGTTTTATTTAAGACACCCGCTTTGAGAGAGCAGCTTCTCTTGGTTGTCAACCAGGGAACGCCCCCCCCTGCTGTGTGGCACCTGACGAGGGGCACACTCAGGACTTTAAATCTGACGGAGGAAGGATTTATACATCTTGAATTCTCTCTGTCGCCGCACAGACCTCTTGCTAATTGTGACAAACTCTCACTCTCACATGGCCTTGAGAAAAACAAACACACACACACATTCACACACTTATCCCAACTTTCTGCCCTGTCGACTTGCCTCTCCCTGCCTGCTGTGTGAGTGCCCCGCTCCTGTCCTCCACCTCCCCATATCCCTCCTCTCCTCCCTTCCCCAGGCCTCCTCGCCTCAGCACCTGACTTTTAACCCTCTAATCCCTCTGATTCAGAGGGTGAGATGCTTCAGGCACTGCCCCTAATTGGCATAAAACAGAGCTCTGGCGATTCAAGGCTCGATGTGAAAATCCTCTGCTCTCAGTGTGAAGAACAGTGTTGATAAGTAAAGTTACAGGAATCACAAGCTCCTGTAAGATGCCCAGCAGATGCTTCAGTCATGTCTCAACACACCAAATGAAAGAAAACAACTGCCACTCATCACCAGCTGAACATTTAGACATCACTGCTCTTTTCACCCGAGCTCTTTGGCACAGATAATGAAATGGCAGATTTTGTAGGGGCTGACACAATGCTGGTAACCAGATCCCAGACGGGTAGTGCCGTTTCAAAATCCCTGCCACAGTGGTGTGACAGCAGGCCTGTGCTTAATTGCTTAAATTGGGTTTTATGACAGAGAGCTCCTTCGCCTTACTCATGCTTCCCGTCCACAAACCGACATTTAAGGGCAAGAAACGTCCCGTGGGGCAGAGATAACCCACAGTGTGCATGTGTGTCTCACTAAACACTCCCACCAGCACTTGCATTTGCACATTTTATCCCCAAAGTGTCGCCATATGTTATGCAAATAATACTTTGACAAGCTGTGACTTTAATCTGACATCCCAGGTGAAGAGAGGAACCTTGCCTCATTTGTCCCGTCTCTCTGTCTCCCTCATACACATCATTTATCCCTTCTCTCAGCAGTGAGAAGTGTGTCAGTGTCAACAGGCGGCTGTACAAACTCAACAGTCTGCTGTGTAAAGAGCGAAACGCTGCAGCAGACGGCAGAAAATAACTACACTGGCACAACCGCTCTCTTGTACTGTAAGTGTTACAATCTGTGCATCATAGCAGGCTGAAAGTTCTCCACATTAGTGAGGGATAATTGGCCTCCTGTGGCTGCTCTGCTGTGTCTGGTAGCCTAATATAAACCAATTACCACCATTATATACTGTCAATGACACAGTAGCTTCTCCTATAGCATAATGACAGCCTGTAAGGAAACACATGGCGAGGAAACAAGCGGTACGCCGGTGCAGGGGTTAATAGCGGGGCTATTGGAGTAGTTTACGCTGCCTGTTTCGCCTCCAGGACAGATTAGGACGATTTTCCTTGCCTGTTTGTGGGGGCTGTGTAAAAAGATGGTAATCTGACTGAAAGCTGGAGGGATCGTGGTCAGAAGACTGTTCTTACATGAATTAAGCATCTCAGGCGAAGGCATATGTCGAATTTTTTAACGCGGTTATATTTGGATCTGATTCCCAGTTGGGTCTTGAGGCTTCTGGTTGGTTCTTGACTTTCTTATATTAAAGTGAGTGAGTTTACCTCTGAAATAGGGACTGGTTTGATCATATTTTAGTGGTTATCGCTGCAGCAAAAGAGCGCAAACACTTCCATAAGTGTAAAGTTTAAGAAACTTCTTTAGGACTAAACGAGGCCCCGTCTTTCAAGATCCATCCCAGAGAATCAAAGCTAAATTCGTAAAGATGAGATGATATTATCTGGAGGAAACAGACACACTTCTAGTCTTTATAGTTATTTTTTGGTCTAAACACGTTGAGTCATGTCAGTTTATTGGATGTTAGTTTATTGGTGGAGTGGGTCACTCACAGATTTAATCTTTCAGGAATTTGACCTCATCGCTCATTGCTCTGCTGCACACATGCTGCAGGAAAGTGATGTCTCTCTAATTTCTCCTTGTACCTTTCCTCCACGTCTGAGCCAGCGTTTCATTCATCCGCGTCGCCTTCAGATAAAAATCAGATGATTGAGTTGTTTAACTGTAAATCCGGTGCTGGAACGCGTTCACACTTAAATCAAAGTAAACAATTTTGATGATTAAGCTATGGAGTCATCTTTGTAACAGTAGCAGCTGTTGATACATATTTAATATTGGGTGGCACCAGCTATGCTTATGACTGAAACTTGGCCAACGACGCTGTGTGACTAAGCTGGGACATTTTCTTGTCTTCCATCCATCATATGGTCGTTGCAGATTATTTATTAGATTCATGAGTTCAAGATCTTTGTTGTGAAGCCAGCATCAAACCACATCGTGCCAATGTAATTGTCAAGCTTGGCACTTAAACTTATTTCCTCAATAGTTTTGCATTTACTGTGGGAAGCAGTGATCCACCAGAACTACTGAAAACTATCAAACAGCAGCTGTCATGTATAGTATCCTCGATAATGATTTGGCTGCATCACCTGGACAACACCACCCTCCACTTTGATGGTCCAACTGTTATCAAGATCATCAGGTTTTGATGCCATGCCACACAACACTACAACACTGAACTGACCATTTTTAACTTAAGTGTCCTATTGAACTTTCTGTTGTGGGACGCTCCCCTGTGTGGGTCCAAAAACAGCTCTTTCCCTCTGCGGTGAACACGGCTCGGTGTGGTCTAGACACTCGGCTCGGCCCCTGCGTGCTGCACGGCGTCCTGCGGTCCCACACCAGCCCGCCTCATTACCGCCCCGGCTGCTCCCTCTGCTCCGCGCACACGCTCGCCTTTTACGCATTTCCCCCCCAAATACTGTTTTATTGTGAGTATTTGGTGATCTGACGCATTAGCGGCCCCCACACACACCAATAAAACCTGTTACATTGAATAAGTGCTGGAGAGATCATGATGATTTGTCGCTCCTCAACAAAAAATACTTTTTATGTTTTGGCATTCTGCAGGGATGCTACCTGCATTTACAGAAAAACAATATTATCACAGTGACACGCTTTAAAAAACGTTGCATAGTATTATCAGTGTTGTGCTGAGCAGCGCAGAAACACGGTGAGTTTTTAAGGGAGTTGTCGCTTAACTTAAATGAGCACCCATCAGCGTGGCTCATATTTAACATAGGACATACAGTGTTTGAATTTTGCACTACAACAACATCCAGTTAATTAATACAGGTAATATATTAATATGTTTTTAAAGTTAATCATATTCTACCCAACTGCGTTCGTGACCCTGTTTATGCGTCTTTACGCACGTCTCGATCCTCTTCCAAGCGTCAGCGCTCCAAAAGTATGAAATGTTTTTCTTTATCAGCCAAAGCAGGAAAGTCTTACCCTCAACTTCAAAGACGTAAAGTTGTGAGCGCAGCTGCGCTTGTGTCTTTATCCAGACGGAGCACTTCGCCGATAAAACTCCAAGACCTTGTAGTTTTCCGTGTGTGCGCGCTCTCTGAAGAAAAAATAAGTTTCTGCGAACGTATTAGAATTATAACGAACGGTCTTCATCAAATCCTTGGAGACACACACCGACCTCCACGTCAAGGAATGCGCTCAAGTGCTGCCTCCCTGGACAAAAAGCGCTTTATTGGTGAGCACAGAGGAGAGTTTAAGCAGGAGTCCAGATGGGAGGGGCGAGGCGAGGCGCACCGCAGCAGCAGCAGCAGAGCGCACTCCTGCACAGGCTCGGAGAGCAGAGAGCGACTCACCTTGCAGCTTGGCTGAGTGCTCGGGAGAGAAATTCCAGCCTCCTTTCAGTTCGCTATATCTTAATGCCTACCTGCACGACCTGTTTTAAACAAGATGCATTAGGCCTACTGGGTTGTTATTTGCTGTTCAGAGAGGTTTTGTTACATTTCATTTGAATGACTGTTTCTTAATTACACCTTTGCTTTTTTGAAGTATGCATTTTAATCAGCTCCTCTGCAGGCAAATGAGCAAGCTGATAGGCCTCAGCATCATGAATACACACACTTTAACAGGGCTAATTTGAGGACCAGATCACACCAAATCAAACACGACATCCTTTTAAACTATGACAGAGTAAACAGTTGCAAATTATTGTAGTATGAATGAACCTGAATCTGTTCACACACATGATCTCTCCACTGACATATGAGAGACTGTCTACAGCCTCCACAGTGTACGTGCAGTGTACATTAGCACATATGGTGTCTTCATTCACAGAGCCATCCTCAAGCTGAGAAAGCCATTGAATACTTCCTAACACCAGTGATAAACTACCCGTCGGCAGCTGGCAGCCCATTTCAATGTCAGCCAGTCCCAACAAGGTGCAGTAAGGTGATAGCTCTGAGGCACCGTGTCACCTCAGAAGTGTACTTTTAGCCACACGTCACAGAATTCTCCAGAAACCTGAAGCCTGTTGTGTACAGCACGTTAATGTTTATATAAGTCTGACCCATGTGTTCCTGCAGGGCTTCTGTTCCCTCCACATGTTGACAGAGAAATTGTAAAAAAAAAATAGAAGAAGTAATAAATGAAACCAGGACAAATTTCTCCTTGTGGTGATGTCACTCACTCTCATGCTGAAGGTGTATAGACTTCAAAAAAAAAAAAAAAAAAAGGTTCAGCAAACAGGCCTTGAGGCAGTCACACGTGTCTCCTAAAACCACCCCCACCCTCAGTATCCTCAGCTCAGGGGACACTTAAGTTCCACTTGTTGAGCCATGCGTATGTATTTTGTCCAGTTTACTTTTTGATAGCAGTCTCCACAAAGTCTCATGCCTTTCCACGGCTCCTACTGTAGGAGTTATTACATGAAACACACACACACACACACACACACACTGTGCCATCTGCAAAGCATTACAGTAAATTGCAGGAATAGAGAAATGATTTCACGCACGTCCCGCAGGGTCCAGATGTGGCTCCTCAGTCGAAGCCGCAGCTTAGTTTTACGTGTTCAGTAGAAATAAAGAAGGAAATAAATCTTGCCCTGTTGTATTTAATCACACAGGCCCACAAAGTCGGTGCTCGTGTTCTGTCTGTCTCTGTTGCTCCACCTCATAAACATAAACCCCTGCGTCCTAAACTACAACACCAGAGCTGAGGTTATCCAGGTTACACTCAGGGTGGGTTCTTTATCTCCGTCATTAAGCTTGTGTGTGTTGGATGGTGAGGAGGACCAGTGTCTTCACTGCTCAGGTACTCAAGGCCTTAACCTCCAGTGTGGGCTGCTGGTTATTTATTCTTCTGTTGCTTGAACTTTACAGCCAAACTGCTGAGAAAAAAATCACAAATTCAAAGCCAGCATGATCTGAATCTTACCACAAGTGGTTGTTATGTTAGAATAAATAAATAGATAGATAAATAAATCCAGTGTTGCAATGTTAACATGCATATTGCAGTAGTAGTATGACTGATTTATAGAATTTTAAGCACCATAATCAGTAAAACACAAGACATCAATGTCTTAACACTGTGAAAAAACTACTTAAATGTAATTTCTGATATCATAACAAGAGGAAATTCATTTAGTAGCAAAAAAGCTATGTTCAGTTCAGTTTTATTTATAAAGCCCAATATGACAAATCCCCTTTAACGGGGAAAAAAAATGGTAGAAACCTCAGGAAGAGCAACTGAGGAGCGATCCCTCTTCCAGAAAAAACAGATGTGCAATAGATGTTGTGGTAGTTGCAGTTATCCATATGACAAAATGACAGAGATCGCGGGAGATGCACAGCAACAACAGTGATGCCAATAACTACAATAACAATAATTTAAAAAAAAAATATGAATAATGATAATAGTAGTTAATGAGTGAATGTATACATCAATATAATAATAATAATACATTTTATTTCTTGGCACCTTTAACCACACTCAAGATCACCGTACAGGCAAAGATAGAGAAAAAACAGCAGCTTAAAAAAGTCAAAGAGATAAGGAATAAAGTAACATAAAAAGATATATATATCAAGTAGTATAATAATAAATATAATAAATATTCAGCAAAACAATGTGAAACTGATGTTTTTAAAGCCCCAATTAAAGTTTAAAGAATTCTGCATCAGAAACGTGCAGTTTACCTTTATAATAAATGGATAAATGTTTCTTAAAATTGATTAATATTTTTAATCTTACATAGAGATTTTATGGAATATAATCTCCACCCCATCAGGCATTTATTTATTTCACAAATTTTCAAGACATGGTTGACTACCCAACACGAAAAGCCTGATTGTTTTCTGAAAATATTAGTTTTTTATTGCTTCACAAATACATTTAACTCTTTTATTATATTGTATGCATGTAATTATATTAATAATAGTAATAGTAATAATTGTACATGTTCTGAATATTGAGGGGGACGAAGACAAAATCTAAAGATATTTTTGGGGGGCATTTTTGCCTTTATAGATAGGATAGTTAAGCGCAAAGGGGCGAGAGAGAGAGGGGTAATGACATGCAGCAAAGGGCCACAGGCTGGAGTCGAACCCGGGCTGCTGCAGCAACAGCCTTGTACATGGGGCGCCCGCTCCATCCACTAAGTCACTGACGCCCTGCATAGACACAATCTATGCCTGTGATTAAGGCTTCATCCTTACATAGATATAGATATCGACATTTGTCTAAATTAGCCTTCAAAACCCACAATGCATAACTATAGTAATGAAATTCCCCTAAAGCTGTTCGAACCGTGATACTGTTTCTACATTTCATTTCAGCTCATACTTTGTTTTAACATCCAACTTATAATATTTGAGACTTTTAATTTAAATAATTAATTTTTTTGTGATCCATTTAAAGTCGATTCTTAGCAGCAAACAAGTTACAAATATCAGAGAAACAACCAGATGTGGGGACAACAACAGAAATCAGCTCATCTCAACAAACACTGCACTCTATTGTTGAACAAATAAAAAAATGCATAGAGAATTGTTCCACTCATCATGTGGAAGGAACTGACACCACTTTAATCAACTATAAAACGTACAACATTGCACATTGTTGCTCCACTGCTAATCACGTTTAAAATTCAGACCAGTCTGTTCTGCAGTTAAATGACCAGAACAGTAAAACCTTGTAGTAATCTGTGCCACATATTTGAACTGTATATTACAGGACAGTGGCAGGCGCTTGGTCAGTGGTGTAAATCCCAGTCTAGTGGCTGTAACAGCATTACTACATGTGCTGTCAGCACGTTGGACTCCTAATCACCCTGGCTCAATAAAAGATGGCTGGGCAGCATACAGCCCGCTCCATAACACTGCCCAGGGGAACCAGTAAAACACTGGTCTGCTGCTGAGCCAACCACAGCCTGCTGATGGTTTTAAAGCTAAGGGCACGTAGCCACACAGCGCCATGCTGATGTTTCTGGGAGGTGACGGATGTTTCTTCATCTTCTCTCTCTGACAGTTTTTTCTAGAAACACATTTGCCACCCTCTACAACTTGTACTTTTTCATTTTCCTCCAGATTTTATTGCGTTCTCTCGTGTGCAAATTTGTGTCACGCTGAAGTATTTCGTCAACCAGCGGACTTTCATCACCTTCTGTTTCCCCACCCTAGTTAGGCCTGATCCCCTTTTGTTTTTGGCTGCTTTGCTTTCCCTCACATTTGCTTCATCACTTCTGACTTTGTGAGTCATTTTCTTGCCTCCATGATTTATGGTTAACTCCTACACTGTGGCTCAAATTCAGCTTCGCCTGACATTTCTGGATCTTGTACGCGTTGCTGTAGATCTTACCTGACATATAATTTATTGTTTGGGATCATGCTATTGTGAGGTGCACTTTAAAATTTTTATTGTATCTAAATACAGGGACAGAAGCACGTGTATCTGTGACTGACAAAAGCATTGATGGATTGGTTTTATCTCCCAGTGAGTCCACACACAGGGACAAAGAGCTTATCAGAAAGGCTACACCGACTTTAAACAGACTAAACTGTCTTTGTCCTTGGTGGTTTTCACAGTCATATTCAATCGTACACTTTATGTAGCGGAGTAAATCACCAGATGTCCCATGATACAATTATCACATTACTTGAATCAATTGAATGCTGTGTCCCCAAGGGAAAATTTGTCAACGTCTGTTTTATCTAACAAGATTAAGTTGTATCAACCCAGCTGGCCACGAGCGTCAATAGAAATTGACATTTGTATGAATTTAGGTTATGACGTTGTCCAAAATTGGCCAAAATTCAATTTCAGGAGAATGTCTAATTCCAGTTTCAATCTGACATAGCACACAGACGACAGATGGCATTGATATTTCATTGCTTTTAAGTTTCAATTCAATCAATCAATCAATTTTATTTATAAAGCCCAATATCACAAATCACAATTTGCCTCACAGGGCTTTACAGCATACGACATCCCTCTGTCCTTAGGACCCTCACAGTGGATAAGGAAAAACTCCCCAAAAAAAAAACCCTTTAACGGGGGGAAAAAAAAACGGTAGAAACCTCAGGAAGAGCAACTGAGGAGGGATCCCTCTTCCAGGACGGACAGATGTGCAATAGATGTCGTACAGAACAGATCAGCATAATAAATTAACAGTAATCCGTATGACACAATGAGACAGAGAGAGACAGAGAGACAGAGAGAGAGAGAGATGCAGGACAGACGGTAGTGACAGTAGCTTACAGCAACATTAATGAAAGTAATAATATTATAGTTATAGTTCTGGCTACTGTGGTACAATATGTTGAAAGTATATATTAATATCTGGCAGTATACATATGTGACAATAATCATATGTGTATAATAACAGTAGAAGTATGACTAATGATAACAGCAGCAGCAGGAGGCATCTGGCAGGACCACGGCAGCAGCACAACCACACATGTCACGCTGTCCAGGCACCGCTGCGATATGAGTTAATCTGAGAGACAGTGGAGCACAAAGGCTCCGGAGAAGAAGCCGAGTTAGTGACATCCAGAATGGCTGAGTAAGCAAGATGCAGTAATAGGATACGAGAGAGAGAGAGAGAGAGAGGGAGAAGGAGAGAAGGTGCCCGGTGTATTATAGGGGGGTCCTCCGGCAGACTAGGCCTAAGTCAGCCTAACTAGGGGCTGGTATAAGGCAAGCCTGAGCCAGCCCTAACTATAAGCTTTCAAGTAACCAAGATTCAATGTCTTTTTTAAACATCGCATGCCAACCCCATCTTGATGTAGAAGAACGACATTTAGTTGAAGGTATGGAGAACAAAACCCATTATCTGCAAAATGTCGTAATGTTAATGTCCACACAACCTGGAATTCTAACATCATTAGACATTTAGAACATCATATTCATGTCTGGTGCCAGCTCGGAAGTGGACTTAAAAATCATTCAATTTTATTATTCCAGTAGGCGACCAAAAGTTTAATTTTTGTTTGCAATGTTAATAATTTATCTTTTTCCCCCAAAAAAATCTGTTTATTGAACTGTTCCAAATAGAGCAGATACGAAGCACTTTAATATTTGGTCAATCCAATAATGACTAGATAAAAAAGTAAGTGGCAAGTGAAATAAGAATGATACAAAACCAAGACAGGACTAAAACAAGACAAATACTACAAACCAAATCAATACCCAGAACAAGACAAAGAACAAAACAACATAATAATAAAATTTAAATCTAAAAATATGTGGAAATATGTGTCTGATGATAAAAATAACACTAAATACATAATAAAAAAATACATAATACAATGGTTGTTGGTCGGACAACTGCCTGTCACATCACAATTTAATGTCTGTAAAATACATGATCATTCATTCAGGAATATCTGGAAAGTCCAGCTCTCGTACATACTCGAAAAAGGGATCCCACATCGTGCAAAATTTCCTCGGGGAGCCCTTCATGTTTGACAAAATTAAGGACTTCCCTTATATATCCAGCTAGTAAGGTAACAAAGGCTGCAAAGGTTTCCTTATAGGCAGAGAGGGGTACTGTGGGTGGAGTTACACCAAACAATGCGATCATAGCAGTAGGTTCAACAGATTTTCCAGTAGCCTTTGACAGAGATCTAAAGATTTCCCCCCAGTACGTCTATTGATATATGCAATATTAATAGTTTATCTAATTGGAAAATGGATTCCTGATGTCCGTGTATCGATACAATATCGTCATGCAAAATATATAAGAAATATAAGTACGATACTATGGTGTGCTGTGCTTTAGGGTTGTCCTTGACCTTGTGACCCATCACCACCTTACCTACGTCCCACCATGGTACAAATGCAGACCACCACGAAGACACGGCCACATTCACACAGTCATACCTTGTGACTAGTCTGTGGATCCGTTCAGAAATACGAGCATGTGTCTCGGTTTGAGGTGTCCGTGTTTTGTTGTTCACAACATGCCTGTGGGTTTTTTAATTTTGGAAAAGTAGGAAACAAACAAGGAAAGTGTCCCTGCAGGAGAAGATGGGAACAGAGTCAGACAGAATAGAATAGTTCAC